AGGTCGGCTTCCAGCTGCTCCTTCGATGCCTCGAGGGCCTTCTTGAGCGCTTCAGACTGCTCCCGCTCAGCAGCTAGATCTCCTTCCACCTTCCGAAGCTGCGCGTCCTTGCCCTCCCCCAGCCCCTCCGCGTTCTCACGGAACACGCGGAAGTCTTCGCGTTCTTTGGCGAGAGCCTCTCCCTGCTTCCCGAGGTCGGCTTCTAGCTGCTCCTTCGATGCCTCGCTGGCCTTCCTGAGCTCCTGCTCACTCGCCAATTCCCCCTGTACTGTCTGCAGTCGTGCTTCGTCCCTGATCCTCAGCGGAATATAGCCGTCGCGGAAACGTCGGTAATCCTCGCGCACCTCGGCGAGGGCCTTCCCCTGCGCGGCGAGTTCAGCTTCCAGCTGCTCTCTCGATGCCTCGCTTGCCTCAGACCGCTCGCGCTCGGCAGCCAGGTCATCCTCCACCGCCGAGAGCTTGGCCTCACTAACCCCCGAAGCTGCTTCCCGGAACGCGCGGAACTCCTCGCGAACCACGGCCAGGGAGTCTTCGAGCTGTCTCTGAGCCGCCGCGCTCGCCGTCGCGGACGCCGACGACTTTTCCAGCTCGACGGTCAGGGCATCCCGAAGCGACCGGACCCGTTCCGCCTCGGCCTCCTCCCTGGCGGAAGCCTCCTCCCGGAAAACCCGGAACCGTTCCCTCTCCTCTGCGAGACTAGCGTCCGCGGCCGCTGCGGCCGCCGCCGCCTCAGCCGTCTGTCGCCGGACGTCTTCCTCCCTCGCGCGCTTTAAGACCGACAGCTGGTCGCGCTCTGTGGCCAGCGCCTCCCGCAGCGACTCGAGCCGTGCCGCACCGGCTTCCTCATCGGCAACGGTCTTCTCCCGGAACTTGCGGTACTCTTCTCCCAGCTGCGCTAGGGTGGCCTCGGAGTCGGCTCGTGCGAGGGCTGCCTCAGCCTTTGCCCGTGATGCTTGGAAGCTGAGGTCCCGGGCGGCGGCCTCCCGGACGCTGGACAGCTCGGTTTTTGATTGGTCGAGCGCGGTTTCAGCTTCGGAAAGCTTTGGTGATGGTTTCATGGTGTACAAGTGGTAGTAGTCGGACACGACAGTTGCAAATAGGCGGGGGGCGTTAGGTGTTAGGCTCCTGGGTGTACGGTTCAAGTACTTTCGTTGTGCAGCATTAACCAGCACGCATACACACAGGCTATGAAGGTTGAGTACACTAAAAGCGTGGATGGACCCAGGCAACGGGCGCGGAATCTGCTTGTACACATGGTTTGGTGCGAACAAGCACCGAAGTGTTTTCTACACCAGCTGGTGTTCGTGATACCGAATAAACTGCGATTCGATTGACAATCCTCACCGTCGAGGCCGGAATTCGTTCGCAATGTCGCCTGAAGTGCAACATAGGGTCGAGGGCGAGGGCGAGGTACCACCGGTATATCCTACCCCACCCACCCCTCAAGTGGGTTGGCGCTGTTGACAAAGCGCTGTACAACACGCTACCCCAAATATAGCCCCCATAGTATGCGCTACCAAAGACGCGTGACGCATGGACGAGTGGAGTGAGNGTTGAGTGATGTTGGATAGTGCCAGACACATAGACGCTTTGAGTGAGAATAGCTGCATATTGAGGATTAACGGGTTGAGTGACGTTTGAGAGTGCCGGACACATAGACGCATTGAGTGAGGATAGACACATCCTGAAACCTCACGGTGACTTGGATTGGAGATTGCCGGACACATAGACGTGTTGAGTGAAGATAGCTGCATACTGAAACCTCACGGATGGATTGGTTTTTGAGTTTGCCAGACACGTAGACGCGCTGAGTGGGGATAGCTACACACTGAAACCTCACAGGTTGAGTGATGTTGGATAGTGCCGGACACATAGACGCTTTGAGTGAGGAAAGACACATCCTGAAACCNGAAACCTCACGAGTTGAGTGATGTTGGATAGTGCCGGACACATAGACGCTTTGAGTGAGGAAAGACACATCCTGAAACCTCACGGTGAATTGTATTGGAGATTGCCGGACACAGAAGTGTAGAGTGAGGATAGCTGCATAACTTCGCACATGAGTTGGTTTTTGAGATTGCCAGACACGTAGACGCACTGAGTGGGGATAGCTACATACTGAAACCTCACGAGTTGAGTGATGTTGGATAGTGCCGGACACATTGACGCTTTGAGTCAGGAAAGACACATACTGAAACCTCACAGGTTGATTTGTATTGGAGATTGCCGGACACATAGACCCGTTGAGGGAGGATAGCTGTATACTGAAAACCCGCAGTAGCCATAGTGAGGGGACAATTCGAGAGTGCAGTACACATAGACCCGACCCCCANAGACGCTTTGAGTGATTATAGCTGCATACTGAGACCTAACGGGTAGAGTGTTTGCGACTGCCGGACACATAGACGCATTGAGAGAAGAAAGCTGCATACTGAAACCTCACAGGTTGATTTGTATTGGAGATTGCCGGACACATAGACCCGTTGAGGGAGGATAGCTGTATACTGAAAACCCGCAGTAGCCATAGTGAGGGGACAATTCGAGAGTGCAGTACACATAGACCCGACCCCCAACCCGTACCCGAACGCCCCCTGAAAAATAGAGGCCATGCGCCCCCCTCCCGCTTTACCTCCCCCTGAGGATGAGGAGGGTACAGTCCAAAGTAAGCACAAGCTTACCTGAGGTTAATGCCTAGGGGTACGGCATTAAGAAAATACAGAAGTCCCCCATTGGGCGGTGGAGGACTTAGAGCTACTGTAAGACACCCCAAAACTCTATGGCGTGAGATCCAAAATGGATCCAACGGTGGAGGGGGGGGGGGG